TTAAATAATGCCCTTCTTGAAAATTTTATCATGCTTGTAACAGAGGACAAAAGGGACATTCATACCAAGATCAACCTGAAATGCCAAAAATGGAAAAGGGTGGTTGCCCAGTTCTGCAAGCCAATTAAAGCCAAGCCTCCCCTCAAGCTGGCAACAAATCATCTCTTCCTCCCTCTATCCTTCTATCCAAGTATAGCATTTAATAATTTGCTTTGGACATGCACTCTGACAGGAAAACCAAGGCACTGCATTTTGACATTTATATTACAAGTTTACTTTACACTTTTATTCTTGAAAATCGTGTAATCTGAATAACCAGTACTGATTGCTTGTGAGAATCATTTTACAACCTTATTCATTTGCATACTAAAATATCAGCTCCAGTATATTTTTTTTCTGTCAAAAGTGAACAGATTCATGTTGCTAGAAATTCTGTGGCCTGCCTTGCCACATGCATGTTTTGGATTGGGTTTCTCTTACTATTTTCTCTCTTTTATTTGTCTCTGAGTGCCAATGCATGTTGCTTAAATCTACTTCAAAAGGCAACACCTGGGTTCTTTGTCTATGTATGTTCAGTTACCATTCTGAGAGATGGGAGGATTAGGTTTGGGGCCCATGGACAAAGTAAAAAAAACCCAGTAAGAATGCAACAATGCACGTACCTGACTTCCTTTTCCTTGGATGCTCTATCTGGATTGTCTGGGTCAGGTACAGATAGATATACCTGGCTCTCTGTGGTGGATGCATTGTCCAAGACCCTTGCCTCAATGAGCTTGTCATGAGTCTGCATTTCTGAGGTTCCTTTTCAAGCTGGTGTCAGGTATCCACTGCCACTTGCAGGATGGTTGTGAGGGTCCCTGCTCAGTATGGCATCCAGGTCTGCATAGCAGCAACAAATGTAAGAGGCAGCCCCAATTTTCTGTTGGTCTCTCTTACTTTTGGTTTGACAGTTCTTACCTCCCTTTTCCCTCTTGCTCAGCACTGCTGTTCATTCCTGTGTACCACACCTCTTTCATGCCCTTTGCAATGTCTGAATTGCAATAGTAGTTGCAGCAATTCTGCAGTGGACTTGCACTACCGATTTACCTCTACAAACAGAGGGAATTCAGGACGTTTTTCTTTAAATCAGATTGCAATGCAAAATCTGAACTCTCCTTAGCTACAGCTTTATACTGTATCATACTTCCACAGTAAGGTCACAAAAAGCACTTGCAAGGGTGGCCTAGTGGAAAGAGAAGTATTTCCAAAATGCACTGGCAATTTTAAGGAATGAGGGCAAGATTCAGGCTACGGTGAACCCTGGACAGCAGAGTTCAAAATTGTGACAGTGGTGAATGTCACAAAGACAGGAAGACTGTGGAGGACTACTAAATACAGGTAATATAGCATAAAAGAAGGCATTGTACCCTATAAAACAATGCCAGTACAGGACTTATGACACCAGCATGATTTTGACTATGTCAGGTTAAACCCAGGTTTTACCAGCAGCTCTCAAAATGAAACATGGAGGTAAACAAAGATGTCTCAACATAAGATAACTCTTAATAGCAATTTTTTGTAGTGTAGACCAGGTTTTATTTTCAGGAATTGGAATGTGTCCAGCCCTGGAGTAATACAGCAGTGTAACACAAGCTGTATTCTTATGTTAGTTAAATTTCCCTATATAGACAAGCCCTGAGCATTGAGAAAGAAAAGTCAAGCTACACTATCCAATATCTGTATCATTAACATAAGCATGACGATATTCTGAGGAGGAACAACAAAAGCAATAATACATAGCACTTAATAGTGCTTTTCATATTCTGAGGGCATGCCTACATGTGCTATTAATGTGCTATAAACTTACTGCACAGTAAAATAAGGTGCAGTAAACTTTCTCCAGGAGCGCATCCACCTCGAAGACAGCTGCCTCCCAGCCCTGTGCCCTGACCGGCAGGAAACTATCCCATCTCCCAAACAGCTGCTTCCCAGCTCCCTGCCTTAACATGCTGATCAGGGTGCGGGACTGGGAGGCAGCTGCCTGGGGGAGAGGACAGTTCCACCGCCCCCTGCTGCCTGGCCTGACCAGGAGCAATTTGCTGCCAGTCAGCTGCCTACACAGGTGCTACTGTGCATTAGATACTGCACGGTTAACCTACTACCTCTACAGGTAGTAGCCAACTGTGCAGTAGACTAATTCACTGTGTAGTAAATGCTGTGCACATGCAGATGGTGATTCTTTACTGCACAGTAGATTAGTCCACTGTGCAGTAGGGCATCGTGCGTAGACACGCACTGAGTGCTTTCTGTTGGTACTAAATGTACCTCCCTTTTGACGTGTATATTAGCCCCATTTTACTCATAAGGAAATTGGCATGGAGAAGCAACCAGTATTTGACCTAGAACTGAGTTTTGGTCCCCATTCCCCTGTTCAGACCACACTTCCTTTGGAAGTTCTAAACTTTAACTATTATTGTTCTACCTATTAGACTAAGAACATGCACAAAGCTTAAGTAATCATTAGGGACTTCCAAGAAACCTACAGCCAACACTTAACAGTTCATTAAGCTTAGAGACCAAGCAAGTTTCTCTCCACTATGAGATATTTATCAGTAGTTAGGGTACCATTTAGTAATTAAAGAATAAAAAATCAAGCAGACATGATGAAAGAGTATCAGTGATCTAGGTATGTAGGTCTATTCTTTATGTAGCATGAGCAAAGAAGAAAATAGAAGCTTTCTAGCCCAAATGTAGGGACAATCAGCAAATAAACCAAATGATTGTTTCACTCCTGTTTTCTACTGAAAAAAATGATTTCCTTTCCATGTATATCCGTTACTGTATAATAAAAGATTTTTCAGTGCTATCTATGGTATAATACCTATATAATTTTTCTCACTTCTTGGATCAACACTCCAAACCAAAAAAACTCCCATTAAAACAAATGGAATTTATGGTTTTTTTATTATGTTTTAAATAATTTTAATAGCCACAGAGCATATTTAAATAGCTACCTTTTGAAGTGATATTGTCATTATAAAAAAAATAAACAGATTTATGTAAAAAAATAGACCTAACCTATTGTTATAATAATAGTTTTGACTTCTAACTGTGTGAGTTCCCCAAATTACTTTTCACATGTGTTTTATGTTTACAATTCTATTCCTCTGATTGGACATACAATCTATGGAGTAAGGTAGATTTTGGGGTAGGTTTTCAATGCATCTGAAGAGGCAGAGATCTTTTTAAGCCTCAAGAAACTGAGAGGTAATGCAGATTTTGAAATGGAACTAGGATGACTACATACCTTTAGGGGAATGGGAGAGGTCAATCCATGATCTTTACTTAGCATACCATGTTATCAACTTACTATTCTTAACTGAAAACATGTATTTCAGCTTGTGGGGAGACATTACTTTTTCTTTTGTGGTTCTCTTTTTAAAAGAGCCCTTTTCTTCAATACTTTTTCACTATGTAGTACATTAAGACAAGGCGGCTTGTGGGTAGTTACATTGTAGCCCCCCCCCGCCTCTCACCCAGCAGCTGCTTCCCCCATGCTGTGGCTGCAAGAGCAACCGGTCTCCAGGCTCCCCCTCCCTCCTCCCGCTGCTGCTTCCTGCCCTCACCCAAGGGGTAGAGGAGTGAGGAACAGCACAGAGAGCTCCTGGTGTCCTGGTTTGGCCCTCATGGCATGCAGCCCCTGGGAGCTTGGAAGTTGGACAGCCCTGTGCTAAGATATTTTTTACTAGGGCTGTGCAAAGCTTTGGTCCCTGATTTGATTCGGCGAAGATTCAGCCCAATTCGGTGGCCAAATCTCTGAATCTGATTTGAATCAAAGGACCCTTTAATTTCTTCAAATCAAATTGGAACCCCCCTGAATCGACTTGGAGATATTCAGAAATATTCAGTGATTCGGACATAGGCATAGCTTTACATTTTTTTTGTTCATACCTCTAGGTAGCTGGTGGCTCGTGAATGCTGTCATGGAATGTCCCACAGAAGCGTGGGGGCCCTCCAGACACAGCAGACACAGAAGAGGACCAGAAGCACTTCTGGTCCACTTCCATGTCTGCCAGGGAATGCGTGGCTCCCCCTCCCCCCACTGCACCCCACTAACTCAGTGACTGGTGCCTCCTGGGTCTGGGGGGGCCCCCGGCTCCCCCCCCATGACTGATTGCCAAGCTGGGGGGCCTCCCGTGCGCTCTCCAGCAGACCTGGAAGTACTTCCAGTCCATTTCCAGGTTCACTGCTGAGCACGTGGGGGGCCCCCCACCACACTCCTGTGCTCCATCTGCCTCAGCATCACAGTGTTCATGAGCCATGTTGGTACCTCAAGGTATGTAGAAAAAACATTTAAAGCTGTGTCTATGTCCAAATCGCTGATTCTCCCAATCAGCGTTGAATCTTCAGATTTGGATTCAGACAAATCAAATCAGGGACAGGTGATCTGGATCAACGAATCGAATCACTGTCTCTGATTTGGGCTGAATCCGGATCGAATAGGGCCTGCTTTGCATACCCCTGTTGTTTACCCCAAGTGGCAATGCAACTGTTAGGTGAGGAGATTGATGAAAGACGTGTCACATGGAGTCATTTTCCATACCCAGGTTGTGTCCTTATCCATCCCTTAGACCAGTTGAGCAGTTTAATGCTGTTTAGGGTTTCCACACTATTAAGGACCTATAGTCAAGAAATCATGCCAAAATGTGAATTGGCACATTTTATTACTCATACTCATGAAAGAAAAAAATCTCTATTCCCTCCCATAGAGCTGTTGCAGCATTTTCTGCCACCCCAAATACTACTGGTTGGTGGGCTAATCTAAACAAGTGAAAGCATATTTAATTTTTCAAGAATTTGGTATCATAATTTTTGCATATTTTTGAAGTTATGTTGCATGAATGTCATTTTAATCATCAGTTACTTAGAGCATTGGTGTCACTGGACTACCTAATATGTCCTTAATAAAAAGGAAAATTAAAAAGTGGAACTAGCATTTAAAGACTAATATCACCCTTTACCTTAGGTAATAAAGTGCTGAATTTCTTTGTAATCACAATGTGGTAAGACAGAGAAAAATCAATGTCTGCAACATAATTTGCAAAAATAACCCCCCAATTTGCTGTTCACAAATATTTTTTAAAAATACACCTTTCGTGCCAGTACATTGGCTCGATGTATTTTGCTTTTCTGTCATTAACACTCTGCCGTAAGCACAACTCAAAGCTAGGGATTCCAACTCGCAATGGAGATAAGCTAAGATTCCAAATCTCTGTTGCGCTGGCATGAAGACTGGTCTCTTCGGTGATACAGAAGACAATATCCTAGGGAGACTGGAATTAGTCCTATTTTGAATCATTCAAGCCAAAACACAAGGCATATCAAGAAGCAAGTAATCACTAGCTAATGGCTATGGGTGAAACTATACCACAGTTCAGTCAGAACATTTCCTGGCATGTAACAACAGGGCTTGAGAAAATTGGGAGTTTTGTCAAAAGTGTGAAAGCAGCAGCAGCAGCAGCAGCAACAACAACAACAACAAAAATATGTGTGTGTGGGGGCACAGTCTCCTGATTGAATGCGAGTGTCTCTGGAAGGAAGGCAGGGGTGAGCAAAAGGCTTGTAGTTTCCCAGGTTCAGGTGGGAGGAGGGCACTTGGCTGTCCTTCAAAAATTCCAGAAGCTGAGAGCCATGCAAAGAACTGTTCTCTTTAGCTCTGGGCCTGGAGACAATAATTCCTTGAATGCCTTTCCACCTGCAGAACCAAGAGACCAAAGGCAGAGTGCTTAGCTGCCCCCCATGCTGAAGGAGATCAAAGCTACAAGACTCAGTGACCCCCTTGTCATGCAGCTTGACTGCAGAGCACACTGCTGCATGCCATCACAGCAATTTTGAAGCACTCCA